AATCATCATCATCATCATTGTCCGATCATCATCATCATTGTCCGATCATCATCATCATTGTCCGATCATCATCATCGTTGTCCAATCATCATCATCATTGTCCGATCATCATCATCGTTGTTTGATTATAATCATTGTTGTTCAATCAGTATTATTGTAGTTTGATTATCATCATCGTTGTTCGATTATCATCATTGGTGTTCAATCATCATCGTTGTTGTTCAATCAGTATCATTGTAGTTCGATCATCATCATCGTTGTTCAATTATCATCATTGGTGTTCAATCATCATCATTGTTGTTCAATCAGTATCATTGTTGTTCGATCATCATCATCGTTCGATTATTATCATTGTTGTTCAATCAGTATCATTGTAGTTCGATTATCATCATTGTTGTTCAATCATCATCGTTGTTGTTCAATCAGTATTATTGTTGTTCAATCATCATCCTCGTTGTTTTATTATCATCATTGTTGTTTAATCATCATCGTTGTTGTTCGATCATCATCATCGTTGTTCGATTATAATCATTGTTGTTCAATCATCATCATTGTTGTTCAATCAGTATTATTGTAGTTCGATTATCATCATTGTTGTTCAATCATCATCGTTGTTGTTCAATCAGTAGCATTGTAGTTTGATCATCATCATCGTTAGGGTTAGGGTGCAGTGCAGCAGATAACCACAACAATTGTGCATTTTATGAGAAAAGCATGAAATTTCTACCATAGTTAGTATATACCATGATGTTTATTTTCAGATGTGGAGGGAAATCAGATTTGACCTCTGAGGACCGTCAGAGGTCAAATCCAAGATGGCCGCCAGTCCACCAGGTCTAATGTGCAAACGCGCTTAATTTTGGAACCAAACAGTGTAGAAAAACGTTTAAGGTGTCAATTCCAACTAAATTGGGGATGACCATTCATTTGGTGATACTTTTGAGATTTCCAGAACTCAAGGACATGCATTTAGGGCAAGGTCAAGGTCGAATTACGTTCAAAAAGTCGAATATCTTATTTTTAAATATCCTATTGGTAATGTTCAAAACAGAACAGAACACACACAGCACAGTCACACACAAGCAGCACACAGCACACAGCACAGCACATAGCAGCTTTGGCACACTTGCAGCGTCCAGTGCACGCTTTCTCGTAGCGACAATGGATCAATTCATGGCACGATTTTGCTGCTTTAGGGAGAGTGGTCCAAAGAGGCTGCCACCCAGTTGTTTCCTTTGTCCAGCCCCAGTCAGATGGTTCTGGAATTTCTGGATCCATGACCAATGCCTGGTTCTAACGGTTGGCCTGGTAGCAAGAGCGCTTGATGTGCTGCCTGGGTTGGTGGAATGTTCTCTAGAGTTCTAGACTTCTGTGTGAAGAGCTGTTTCCTGGCATCATTCACTTCCGTGCTCTCACTGGTTCGGTCATACAGCAGCACCACAAATCGCTCTAGCAATAACATTGATCCTTCACTGACCTCACTCGGCATGCATAAGAGTTCACTGAAAGCGTCATTCACCTCT